GTCGCCATCGTCACCCTGGCCATTCAGTACCGCAGAGGTAGGGTGGGTTGGCAGCAGTGTTCCCACAGCCGGGAGGATGAGGAGTGACGGGCCAGCCCAGGGTGCCTGCTCCAGGTGCTCTGTCCATCCCAGGGCACAGACAGGGCTTGGCCCCACTCCGTGCCTCAGTTTCCCCAGTACACTCACCCAGCCCCGGGCATACCTTCCCTGCCAGATCCCTCTCACAGCACATGCCTGACAGAAGCCTGCATCCGGGTGGCCAGCAAGATTCTGGAGGCCCTGGATACAGAGATGGACCCATGCCAGGACTTCTATCAGTACTCATGTGGTGGCTGGATCAAGCGGAACCCACTGCCCAATGGGCGCTCCAAGTGGAGCACCTTCAACAGCATCTGGGACCAGAACCAGGCCATCATGAAGCATCTCCTAGGTGGGCACCAAGGGGGTCACAGACTCTGAGGGGGTGACCCCTGTGTCCCTGGGGCTGACCCACAGCCTCCCACAGAGAACTCCACCTTCAACTCCAGCAGTGAGGCGGAGCGGAAGACACAGCGTTACTACCTGTCCTGCCTCAAGGAGCAGAGGATAGAGGAGCTGGGCTCCCAGCCCCTCATGGAGCTCATTGACAAGGTGGGCAGCCATCCACATGTGGACCGAGCTGTTGAGGCTCAGCCCAGCACAACTCCTGCTCAGCTCTTCTTGTAACTAGGGAGGTTACACAGCCCTTGGGGATGGATCTCATCCCTCCATGAGGTGCTGGGTCTGTCTACTGGCAGATTGGAGGGTGGAACATCACCGGCTCCTGGAATCAAACCAGCTTCATGGAGGTACTCAAGAGTGTGTCAGGCACATACCGGGCGGCCCCCTTCTTCTCGGTGTATGTGGGTGCAGACTCCAAAAGCTCCAACAGCAACATCATCCAGGTTGGCACCTTGGCACCGAGGGGTGGCTGGCAGCAGGGGGCACTGGGCTGTCTATGCTGCCCCTCTCTCCCCCCAGGTGGACCAGTCAGGCCTTTTCCTCCCATCCCGGGACTACTATCTGAACAAGACTGCCAACGAGAAGGTGAGAATGGGGGCTGGGCATGCTGCCAGCAGCAATCAGGGGAAACCCATGGCAATGGGTTGTGAGCAGTGCTGGGATGCACCTGGCACCTGCACCCTGCCCATTGGGTGCCCACCCCAGGGATGTGGGATGAGCTGTGGTTGGTGCTGAGTCAGGGCTTGGGGTCCCACTAGGTTCTGGCAGCATACCTGGACTACATGGTGGAGCTGGGCACACTGCTGGGGGGCTCCCCAGAACCTACCCGCCTCCAGATGCAGCAGGTGCTGGACTTTGAAACCCAGCTAGCCAACATCACCGTGCCCCAGGCCGAGCGGAGGGATGATGAGAAGATCTACCACAAGATGAGCATCGCTGAGCTGCAGGTGGGCATGGCCCAGCACAGCCTGAGTAACCCTCCAGGGACACGTGGGAAGTTGTCCAGTGGGACACCAAGGGGTCCGTGCACACTGCTGTCCCCCTCAGGGACACCCTGGGCAAGCCCATCCACTCTGGGAGATGCACTGAGTGCTAGAGTGAGGTGCTCATCCCCCCATTTATTAGGATTTGGGGAGAGCTGGCACCTCACACAGTGGGGTCCAGGGGTCCCCTTCTTGTCCTGTAGCATTAAGAGCAGCAGGAAGGGTGCTTGGAGGCAGGGAGGGATCTGGGGTGGTGAGGGACCTTGGGACCTTCCCAGAGAGCACAGCTGCTGCCCTAGAGGATCCCTGCCATGCTGGACAGGATGCCGCAGAGCTATGCCAAGACCCCAGGTGTCACATCCTTGTGTCCTCTCCAGGTGCTGGCCCCTGCCATTGACTGGCTGGATTACCTGTCCTATGCCCTGGCCCCACTGGAGCTAATGGACACAGAGCCTGTGGTGGTGTACGGGGACACTTACCTCCAGCAGGTCTCCGACCTCATTAACAGCACTGACAGGAGGTAAGGCTCCTGTGTACCCTGGGCCATGCACCTACATGGCAGGGGCACATTTGGGGATTGACAGTGGCTTGGAGTCTGGCACATCCATGGGGATCATGGTAAGTCATGGCATCTCTCTGCCCCAACAGCATCCTGAACAACTACCTGATCTGGAACCTGGTGCAGAAGACAGCCTCCAGCCTGGACCAGCGCTTTGAGACAGCCCAGGAGAGGCTGCTGGAGACACTCTATGGCACCAGGAAGGTAATGGGGGGCCTTGAGATCAGCCTCTACTGCCCCCAGCCTGGAAGCAGTCAGGACCTCCTCTGCTCTTGGGATGCCCTTGGCATGCTAAGCTCTGGAGAGTGCAGAGGGAACCCATAGATCATCTTTTGGGATGGGGGTTTAGCTGCTGAGCATCTCCCCTCTGGTGAGGAAGCAGAGCCAAGCTGGGTGAAGGGAAGGGAGCAGGGAAGCAGGCTGGAAGTCTCATGGACCCTCATCTCACTCCCACAGTCCTGCACACCCCGCTGGCAAACCTGCATCTCCAACACGGATGACACGCTGGGCTTCGCCCTGGGCTCCCTCTTCGTCAAAGCCACCTTCGACCGGGACAGCAAGGCCATTGTGAGGACACTTCTCCCTTCCCCTCTCCATCACCATCCGCGGGAACCCTGTTTCCTTCCCTCCCAAGCCACAGGGCTGGAAGGCAGAGCTGAAAATGGGACCCCCAGCCCTGGGGAAGTTGCATCCTGTTCACCCTGTCCCTGCTGAGGGGCCGTGGGGAGCAGAGAGTCTTCATTCCCTCCCCTCCCCAGGCTGAGGAGATGATTAGCGAGATCCGGGCAGCCTTTGAGGTGTCCCTGGACCAGCTGGACTGGATGGATGAGAAGACCAGGCAGGCTGCAAAGGAGAAGGTGACCCCAGGGAGGGAAGTGGGTGAGAGATCTCACCCCATTCCTATAAACCCCCCTCTCAGTGCTGGGGCCTCTCCCCATGCAGGCCGATGCCATCTACGACATGATTGGCTTCCCTGACTTCATTCTAGACAACAAGGAGCTGGATGATGTTTATGATGGGGTAGGCGGCACCTGGGTCACAGGGCGGGGGCTGGTCCCTGCTCATGCCAAGCCCTGGGGAGCCCTATGGTGGGGTAATGTCCCCATTTGGGGGACATATTTGGAATGTTACACAGATCCACCCTGGTACCGAATGTATCCTGGTCAGGGTGTGGGGAACCACTCTGGTGCACCCCTCCTCATCCTTCCTCTTCCTCACCAGTACGAGGTCTCTGAGGACTCCTTCTTCCAGAACATGCTCAACTTCTACAACTTCTCTGCCAAAGTGATGGCTGACCAGCTCCGGAAACCCCCCAACCGTGACCAGTAAGGGGGAGGGTCTGGGGAAGACAGAGGATGTGACACCTGGGTGACCCTGGTTCAGTGGGGAGGAGGTCCCCCCATGGGGTAGCACATCACTGTAGGTCACCTGTGGTGGCTGTAGCTTGTCCCTGGAGCAGGATCCCTTGGTCACAGGATGAGGGCAAAAGTGGGAGGGAGCAGGACAGCTCAGAGGCCGTGATGGGTGATGGCACAGGATGGGGCTGGAGCTGGAGTGAGAGGGGACACACTTCTGCCTGTCTCCTGTCCCACCTCCCTGTCCAGGTGGAGCATGACCCCACAGACTGTCAACGCCTACTATCTGCCCACCAAGAATGGGATCGTCTTCCCCGCTGGCATCCTGCAGGCCCCCTTCTACGCCCGCAACCACCCCAAGTGAGCCTGGCATGGGGGGCACCTCCTGGCGGTGGGGGAGGCACAGGCTGGATCAGAGGCAGCACATCACAGAGCTCCTCACAGTCACGAAGTGAAGCCCTGAGGGGCTTGAGCATCCCTCAAGCCTACACATCCTGCAGCCAAGACAGCCTGAAAAGTCCCCTTAGGGCCACCAGTGTCCCCAAAAGGACTCATTCCCAGCTGTGTCCCAGCTGGAGCAGAGTCTCATCAGGTGCCCAGGCTGTGGAAGGGGTGCCTGGCCAGACACAGGCTGCAATGGCATCACCCCCAACACACCCTATACTTATACCTGGCTCTTTTCCATGGCCCACAGAGCCCTTAATTTTGGCGGCATTGGCGTGGTGATGGGGCATGAGCTGACCCACGCATTCGATGACCAAGGTGAGAGCCCATGGGCAGCGCCAGCTTTGACTCCTGTCACCTTCCTGCCCCCACCCTTTGCCCCTGCCCTCGGCATGGGGAAGGGGTGCCCCAGATGCACAGGGGTCCTGCTTTGCCATTCATTGCATCATGCGTGCTCGTGCCCCCCCGGCTGTC